GTGTTCTCCCAGATCCGCAGCACTCAAGTCCTGGAGCGTTATACCGACACCTCTCGGCCCACTCGTGTCCCTCGCGGCTCCGGTCCCAAATCCTAGCCTCCGCCTCCTGCTGGTGCTGCCCCTCTTAGCCCTGGCGCTCACATCGGGGCTCGTCCTCCTCCCCTGTCCCCACCACATCGATGGGTGGGTGGGCGGGTTCTGACTTGCGCTTGCTTGCACGGTTGACTGGCGAACTTGCGTTGTCTGGATTCAGCACTTTGTTCCCAGCTAATCTTTGTAACGAATTACCGTATCAGTCCCTGTCCTCTGGCCCATTCTGGTCTGCACCTTCCCGCGCCGCACTTGCCGTATTGCACTACAGGACGAGCACTTAATCAACATGCAATACAAAGGCGCAGCTTTCCGTCTTTTTCCACTACCTGCAAGCCATTGATAACCGTGGGGGGGGGCGTGTCTGCTGGCCATTCCTGTATCACCCCTCGGTCAAGGGCCTTTCTCAATTCGGCTGTAACAAACTCACTTTGCTGAGTCGCGCTGCGATGGTTAGGAAACTGCACGGCTCGCGGCCGGTCACCCGCCATCATAAAGTCTAGGATGCAATCCGGCGCTGCGACCCGCAGCATTTCCTGCACTATAGCTAGCTTGCGTCCCCGCTCCGGGGCTAGTTCTTGCCCTGGGTAGTCGCACGGCACCCACTCCAGCTGAATCCCGCCCTGCAGGTATCCCAGCCACCGTTTCTGTTTGTCCGTGAGGGGCCGGCCTTCGTTAGCTGCCTGAAAGAACACTCGCCACACTGCAACATGTAGACGTATCCTTCCTGCTTGGGAGTCTTCAGGATCTGGGAGCAAACAGATGACCTCTTTGAGAAACTCCTGTTCATCCCGCGGATCTACCGCGTCCTGTTGCCCCAGCCGCTGCAACCTCTGCCAGGCTTCCTGTAGCAGCTGGAGTGCCTCCCTGCCCCCAGCGTTGCGGGCACTTGCTTCCCAGGCTGGTGCTAGTCCTACGCCGCTGGATTTCCGCCCTGTCGGCTGGTGACTCACCCACTGGTCGTCTTCGCAAGGGTCATCTTCCAACGACAGCAACTTGGTCGGATCCCTTCCGTCGCCATCCTGAGTGTCTGCCGGGTAACCCACGTCAGGTTTCCTGTCATTGTCCCTTGCCGTTCCCTGCGTGCTCTCAGTCGACCTGGTTAGCATAGGCCTCTGGGCTTGGGTCTCCTATAAACCGAATAATAACCGGTGGGGCGGGAAACAGGATAAGAGGGTCTTGGAGCTTACACTTAGGTGTCCAAAAGGCAGAGCTGCCCTCTTCCATACCAAGCTCCGCACCCTGCTGTCCCCAGCCCCTGAAATGGCAGTCATGAGCCGCCCGTCCAACACCTGGACCGCGGCAGGCTTTTATTCCAGCCGTTCCCACCGACAGAACCGGCCCCCCAGCAGCTACGAGACCAGAACAGTCGTGTCGGCAGCTGCACATGGTGCCTATTCGAGGCACACACGGAGGCCAATGTCGGGCGCGGGGCCACCGTGCGCTTCCGTGGCTACACCCAAGCAGTCAGCCAGCACTTCGTAAAGCGGAATGCAGGCAAGAGCCTGAAGGTCGGCGCCCGGGCTCTCAAGAAGACCCATCGGCATTTCGTCAGCGCGGGCAGTGTCATGCAGGCAATGTACAGGATGCTCCACCTTGGGACTCCACACAAGATCACGCAGAAGCAGTTCGATGAGGCGGCGCTCCAGACTGGGTGCAAGGGCCTGACTGCCTTTGCGGCCCTGCCGTACGTCGACCTGTCGTGCCTCTTCACCGTCTCCACCGGCCATGCCCTGCTGTTCGGAGTGGTCAGCGACTTTGTGGACTACACGCTGAGGTCGCTCAAAGACATCAAGCCAGCAGACCCAGATGCCAAGCTGGTCATGTCTCGTGAAGCACGCCAGCGGTTCGCGGCCCGCGGCCAGTTCCTGGTCATGACTTCGGACTTCGGGCGGCGGTACAAATGCATCATGCAGTACCGGTGAGCACGGCCAGCACTGGGCAGCCGGCCACACACGGGGGTCGCTAATAGCCGAGAAAGCAAATACGACCAGGGGCTTGCCTGAAAAAAACACCTTCGTCTGTCAGAGAGTTTGCTACTCTACCTATGTAATGTACTTCTTCTAGTTACACGGTTGCTCGCCACACTGGCCCCCTCCACCCATGCAGCAAGAGCTACCGCATGGAGGACTGGCTGCACTTCGTTGAGACGTTCTCCAGCTACATCTTCAAGGGGGACGTGCTGCCCGAGGCCTTGCGGGCCCTGTGTTGGAGCCTGTGCAGCACGGTCACGCACTACTTCTGGCCGCGGCCCCCCGACGAGACCCGTGAGCAGTTCCTGGTGGCAGCCAAGGCGGCTGCATGCAAGCTCAGAGCTTACACGACCAGGCTGGAGGAGTTGGAGGTGCCGGACTACATGTTCACGGTCAACCTGCATATCTGCATATGCCGGCTGTACGACCAGGAGTGCCAGCTTGGGTCCGCGGCAGGGTTCTCCGACCTGCCGGTGGAACGCATGATGCAGCAAATGAAGACGCAAGGCGGAAGGATGGTGTCACAGGCACCCGAGAAGCACTACACGCAGTGGCTGTGCCTGATGCGGGCCTCCGAGTCGCTCACCGAGGCAGACCCCGCGACCGGGGCCAAACACACGACCAACCAGCAGCTTGAGAGGATGTTGGCACGGCGCGCAGTGAACACCGAGGCTGCCTGGTTTGATAAACCAGGAGCCAACGGTTACCTGCTTGGATGAGGCCACATGGTCTATCCGAGTCCAGAATGAGTGGCACAAGTCCGGGCAGCCATGGCGAGCCTAGTGCACTGGTATGCCCTGGCATTCGAGGATGTGGCTTCCTGGACATTGGGTCCCAGTGCGAGCTATGAACTGGACACGGACCGCCTGGATAGGGTTCTCATGTCTACACCACCCGACTGTCCCAAGGCCCGCTCCTTTTTGCGTGCCAAGGCACTCGACGAGGAGCAGA